TCATGTAAATGATCATTATAAATAATTAATTAGAAAAATTCATGTTGCCTTATCAACTCAATTTTTAATTATTCTTTCTTTTAGATTTTAAATAACAACAAAAAATACAAACTATTTTTATAACTTACATTTTTAATTCATTGGTTATATAACCAATGATATAAATTTAAAATCATATGAATACATAAAAATTTACTATATTATTAATGAATATCAGAGTTTGCATAATACATATGGTAATGGCATACAAATTTATATCATTTGATCTAGATATTCTAAACAATTAATATGTTCAGGGTTGTGCCAACCGACCTAATATTGCCTGGTCATACTAACAATAAAATATTGTAGATTTGAAGTTATATTTATAAGGTCTACAAATATTGTACTCTATTTTAATTCAAATAAATAATTTATTCACTTATTATTAAATAAATAAATGCTTTTATTTAAGAGTAATAAATAACTATTGTGATTACAATTATTATTATTATTATTACTACACTGTATTATTATTAAAATAAATATCAATTCATTTTTTACAAAATCACAATTTAAATTAAGTTTGTAAGTACTTTAAAGTTCGTTCATTATTGTTTTGTCATTTATTATTGTAATGTTATTTATAATTTCTATTGAAAACATATTCAAACAACTGATTAAATAAAAAAGTTTAGTTTAATATAAATTCATATTCATTCAATGTTTTTCAGCTTTCATTTTCTTATTTATCAAACAGTGAATTAGTTTTAATGCACTTTTAAAAATATAATACACTTGAAAAATGAAAAAATTAAAATTTTAAGAAGACTTACAGCCGTTTTATATTATGTTATTTACAAATTATGTTAAAGAGTTTGATATTTATATTAATAATTATGATAATTGTTATGAATGGTTCAAATGGAGGTCAGTTTAGTTAAGGAATTTGATAACAATTTTGTAAATTCATAACATTTTATTGTTTAAGAATCGGAAGGAATATCTCTATTGAAGCAGAAAAAGGCTCAAAAAACTAACAAAAACCGATCGAGAGCTCAGTCCAGGGCTTCGGGCACTTCGACCGCCTTTTGGCCAAATGGTGTCGTTTACTATCAAATCGACAATTCCTTATGTATGGTAAGCATTGAATGAGCGATAATTTTGTTGACTAAACATGATTGCTATTCCGGGCACAGCTTCACACCGACGGCTCATTACGAATGCTATGCGAAACATACAGTCCCGCTCTTGCATTGTGTTTAAGCCTAGAAGTAGTCAAACAAATTTTATCCAATTCTTTAGGGGAGACGGGTATGTGTTATGTATACTATATATAAACTTTATATAAAAATTCAAATATTTATGTTTAAAGTAAATTGAAATATATTTCTGTTATTTGTTATGAAACGCAAAATAAAAATTGCTAAATACAGATGCTATTCATCGGTGGGCAAAGTGGGTGGCCGTCAGTACTTATCGCTGGGCAACGGGTGTCACGACATCGGGAGTGCGATGCATGAGATACTGCACGCGCTGGG